TTGCGCTTGCGTAGCAGACGGTAAAACCACTGAGCTAAATCCCTGGCCCTGCTATTTGAACTCTTGACTTGCCTAATTAAAATACAGCAAGGCTTCAGTGCTAAGGATCTATATTAGGCTTAGGGTCTATATTAGGCTTAGGGTCATTTATTATTCTTTTAATGCAAGAAAAAAATAATCCTTGAGCATAAAAACATTCCCAAAGTCAACAAAAGAAATGTGCTGTTGATACATACAATTCAAACTGTTGACACTTAATGATTTCTGAATTAGCACAGGATTTTCATAAACTCCTGTCTTGAATGCTGAATTCTGCTCCAAGTCCCCAAATGCTAAATATACAAAAGCCTGTCTTATTTCTAGTCCAGTATCCAATCACAAACTTTGTGCTGCAGAAATAACTATATTGCTTCCTGAGGCATTCTCTAGTAAGTGGCAGTATTTTTCCTGATACTACAATAGATTTATTTCAGTTGTGCTGACCTTAAATTCAGAATCACAGATGATCAGTCCTTTAGCAAAGGTTGTAAAAGTCGCCCAGCTTAGATAGCAGCACCTCCTCGTTTGACCAACAGAAGCAAATAGATAACAATTATAACAATGAATAGAAAAGTTGTTGTAGGTGGAGGATAATCTTCCTGCTCTTTCCTCCCCTGCATGTTCCTTCTCCACATGGCAGTGTGTTATACAGACGACCATTAGCAGAAAGAATCCAAACATAGAGACCAGAAGCCTGGAGGGCGGTGATGGAAATGAAAGAAAATGCAACACCACAAAATAGATTGTGTGTGATACATGATGACTTAAACAAACATGACCAGATTCTCCCTATAAATTGTGAGAAATTCCTTCTTGCCCTGGAGGCAGAATATGGAAATCTTCAGTTCTAATTCTGAAGGCAGACAGTAAGGAGGGAAGATTTAAATTCTTCAGGATCTAATTGTTTAGGGCCCTGAAGCACAACTGTCAAGACCTGCCCTGTTAGTCTGTTTTCAGTTCCGTAGCAAAGTAACTGCAGCTAGGTACTTACAAAGAAAAAGAGGTTCATGTAGCTCACAGATTTAGAGAAGAAATCAGAGTGCTGGGCTACAAGTGAGGGCCTGGTGGCAGATGGCTTTGTGGCAGGGACAGCCACAAAGCAAGACAGGAAGCCAGAATCGGGGTGGGGCGGGGGGGGGCTGCTGTCTGTCTCTAATATCAGCCCTGTCTCTCCCAGGCACAAACCAGGTTCTTAAGAGAACGATGCTCATTCCTCCCAAGAACTGTGCCTCTGGGGCCCTGACCCTCTCCTGCCTCCAGCAGAGACCTCACCTCCCACACATCCCCTGAGGGCCACACTCAGCTCTGTGGGACTCAGTGCCTGCCTTCCGCAGTCAGGATTGCCAACCCTCACAGGCTGAGTCCGTCTGATCTGAACTTAGTATTAATCATCACTTTGTAATTTCCCCCAAGTCACAAGTTTTAGCTTTGTTTGCCATGATTAGTTATACAAAATGAGCTTGTATATTAAACCTTCATACCTTTTCCTAGTGGCATTGTAGGGTTATATACTTACATTTATTAAGGTAACCAACATTCTACAAGATTTTCATGTGACAGTTTTTCTGATGCAAGCAAAGGACTCAGCTAAACCCACAAGCTCATGAAGTTGTCAAGGTGCCGAGTAGGTTCAGCTGACCCCCAGAGTGCATGCCTCTGAACTGTGCTCCCTGTACACACACAACCACGTTGCACGTATTCAAACACTACCCTCAGTACTGCCAGTGTGTGACCCTTTGAGGAAGCTTAGCTTGTGTTGCAGCGTCCTTGTGCATAAGTGGGGAATGTCCATCCAGGTGTATTCATTCACTGCTCTGCTCTTTTCCCACACTCCTGGCTTATTTGTCCTGATGGTTAGTTTGACTTTTCTGCTTGGATATATTTCAATTCTTATCATTTCAAAGATACACAATCAAAATTATTTACCTCTTTGAAAGTACTATACTGTAAAACTTCCTTGTTTCAATTTCCTAAATCCAAAATTTCAACCTTGACCTCTCTCTTTCCAGTATCTTATTCTAAATATCAAATTTATACCAAATATCATTTATTCTTAATTTGAATTTTTAAAATTAGGATTCTGTTGATTTTAAGTGACCAGAATACAGAAGTACGACCCTAAGTTGACGTTAGCACAAAAGAGCGCACTTGCTGACTTAACGTTGGTCCAGAAACAGTGTTGCTTTGATTTGAAGACTTTCTGGATATCAATGGCTTTCAGTGACCCTCCTGTTCCTTATAGTTATTGACATATTAATCTTATCATGTTAACTTTATATTACTTTTCTATCTTTTCTATTTGATTATAAACTCTGAGGAAGTTTTTATATCATTGTTCCTACCAACTAGTTCTACCACCTAATAAGTTTCTTGCATATAAGAGACATTAAAGCCAACAAAGATAGAGGGAAAAGAAGGATGGAAGCAGAATTCTAGGTCTGAGTATAATTCTTGTCTTTACATAGCCAGCATAAAAACTTCCTTAGGATGATCTCCAGTATAATTCATGTGATGCACCAATCATATGTATATGTGGCTGAAAGTATCTTTCCAATAGCAACCGAAATTATCTGTTTATCCCACAAATGACAATCACCTTGTGCTTCAGTATGAAATATTCTTTGAACCTGTTAAATTTATAAATAATTTCATAAAATATCATAGCAATATTTATGTGAGGTTTTTATCACCACAAATTTAAAGTTAAGTAAGTTTGTAATTAATAATAGCTTCCTTAATAGACAAGAAGATTGTTTGTCTAAAAACCTCTTGGCAGCCACCTTATTAGAGATAGAGTCAAATCTTATTAATGGGAGGGTTTAGACAGTGGGCTGGCTGTGCCAGGGATGCTCTAGTAAGAACAGGACAAAGGTCCAGGATGGAAGCCACAAACAATGAAGCAGGAAGAAGAGCATGAAAAGTGAAGCAAGAAACAGCAGAATAAAAATGCTGGAGAAATCAAACAGTGAAAGAGGTCTATTCTTCTTTCCCTTTATTCTTATACCTGAAGCTCCTTCTAAGACCATCTTTGCACTTACTAAAGATAATAATCCAAAATTCCCCCTATTTCCTCATTACAGAAACTGGGGAGGGAAGTTTCGCGTGTGTTACTGATCGTCTACCACCTGGAAGTTTCCATTGCCCTTACACATGCGATCTTCATGTGTGGCAGTTTGGTAAGTGTTTTCTCGGGAAGACTGACCACTGTTGATTTCTAGTGAGCTTATTATGAGGAGATAAAGTGCACTATGCATTATGTTTAGAAAGAATAAAAATGAAATGTGAGATAATCTTTACTTTTTCTTGTAGCTTATAAATGGAAAACATAAAATTATAAAAATATGTAAAACTATAAATAATTTTTAAATTATAGAATAAAAATGAATGTTCCCATGTAGTCCTCGTATACCCATACATCCAAATCTATTTAAAAAAGGACATACAACACAATTTGCTTTCCTACTAATTACGTGTCTGATCATAGTCACAGTATTTTGTCATGTGCAATTTTTGCAACTATCTTAAGCATTTTTCCATTACAAAACATATCTAAACAAGGCTTTTTATTAACTTCATTGTATTTCTTAGTATTTAGTATTCCTTTCTTACTGCATATTCAGCATTTTTCCAGGTTTTTTTCAAAATTATAAGCAATGACTCAATGAACATTTCAATACAAATATGTATACATGCAAGAGACTACTGTTTCTTTAAATGATATATTCCTGAAAGTGTAATTGCAGAAACAAATTTCAAAAATGCCTAACAATTCACCATGCCACAAAGGCTTATTAGAAATATCATTCCCTCACAGGCTTAAAATAACTAAATAGCTAACACTCATTCATTTTTTCCTCAGACATTAGTGGAGAGTCTACTATTTGATAGGCATTGCAATAGGCAGTAAGGATGCCAAGATTAAGAAGACAGGGGCTCCCACCAGCAGAGAGGCTGCATTCCAGCGGAGGGAAGAGAGCAAACAGGAGAGAACCCTCAGAAGCAGGTCTTAACAATAAAAACCAAGAATAAAAAAGTGTAAAAGTTGGTAGATAATCAGAGACCACATACTTCAAGGGAAACCGACTCCCCACAAGTAGTAGAGGCAGGTCCCTAGAATGATAGTTACAGCCGCCACTTCTCGGGGAGATGAAGCAATCAGAATTTGCAGTTGCTACAACTCATTTTGTAAAATGGCCAGTTTTCAGCAACACCAAAATAGTGACCAATATAATGAAAAGAGCACTGTAGAGATACAGTCTCTTGAGGACAGGGGAAGACAAATACTATACTTAACAAAGAAAGGGGCTGGGGATTTAGCTCAGTGGCACCATGCCTGCCTCACAAGCACAAGGTTGTGAATTCGATCCTCAGTACCAAAACAAAAAAACAAAGAAAGATGTCAATAATCTAAATATGTTTGAAAAATTATAGGATGGCAATGTTGACTCATCAAATGACACTATCAGCAATTATTTTTAAAAACAAAAATTCTGAAGTTGTACTCTAAGAATGCAATAACTGATGTGAAAAACTCACTGGAAAGGCTGAAGAACAGGTTTGAGCAGACAGAAGATAAAAATCAACCAATAGGAAGATAGCACAAAAAAGATAAATCCAAAAGACAGTGGAAAAAAGAAGTGAACAGAGCCTCAGAAACCACTGAGGAAACATTTAGAAAGGTTTTTTTTTAATGTCCTGTTAACCATTTTCATTTTCATTTTTATTTTTATTTTTTGGTACTGGGGATTGAACTCGGGTCCTTGCACTTGAGAGGCAGGTGGCAGATCCACTGAGCTAAATCCCCAGCCCCTGAGAATGTTTAATGGGAATCCTATAGAAATTGAGTAGTCAAGGGAAAAAAATGGAAGAAATAATGGCCAAATACTCAGCTAATTTTATGGAAAAGATCATTGTATACATGAACAAATTCAATGACCCCTAACCTAGAGTAAACAGAAAGCAATCCCTTCCTAGACACTTCTGTCAAGCTAAGTTTTAAAAAGAGAGAAAATATTAAAAGTAGCAAGAGAAACAATGGCTCAGTAAACAATGGAACAATAGTAAGGCTGACAGCTTCCTTCCCATCAGAAACAATGGAGTCCAAGAGGTAGTGGGGTAGAATATTAAAGTGCTAGAGAAAACTATCACTCAAGTAAGAATAGCCTTCAAAATTATCCTTCAAAAAATGTAGATGATAAAATAAAGACATACACAGTGAACAGAGAATGAAATGCCGTGCAAGAAACACTGAAAAGAGATGATGTCAAATGAAACTCAAATGCACATGAATATAAAGCACCATTAAGAGTAACCATAAGGGATTACAAACATCAGTATAAATACATTTTTGTATGTTCTTCTCTTTAACTTATTTAACAAGCAACTGCATAAACTGCATTGGGCTCACTCAGGTAATCCAGGGTAATCTCCTTAATTGAAGGTTGCTAATAAGCAACATTAGTTTTGTTCATCATAACTTCTTGGTTCTACCATTTAGCATGACAGTATTCATCCATACATAATACATAAATGAAGGTGTGATGGCTTTTTCTTCAATAAGACTTTGTTAGCACAAACAGGCAACAGGCCAGATTTACTCACACGTCACACTTTGCCAACCCAAGCTCAATACGTGCATGATGGAAAAGCTGCCGCTGCAGCTCAGTAGAGCTGGGGGCAGAATGTGCCTGGCTGTACAGGCACCGAGGGAAGAGCAAGGGGGTGGAGCTGCGTGGGAACACAGTTGCGGTATGTTACTGGGATCAGCATTCATCCGAGATAGATTGTGACCACGTGTATATTTAGGACTGAGAAAACTGGAAAGTATACTGTAAGGATCAAAGGAGTTGACACACAGTAATTTTATGACAGGTAAGGGAAGGACACAATACATGAGATATAGAGAAAAGAAATGGTAAAATAATAGACACAAATCATTTCAATAACCACATTAAAATACATTAAAACTGAAGGAGAAGGCCCGGGGATTTAGCTCAGCGGTTCTGCTGCCTTCCTCGCAAGTGCAAGGTCCCAAGTATAATCCCCAGTACCAAAAAAAAAAACTAAAGGAGATACTAGTAAGTGCCCAATAGAATGGCTGAGTTTCAAAATACTAACAATTCCAAGTGATAATAAAGACTACAGATAAAAGAAGTTTCACACTCCTACTTAGAATATAAATGATCACAACAGCTTTAAAAGCCATTTGGGAAGTACCTTCTAAAAATTAGATGTGCATAATCCTACACAGTTAGTAATTAATCCCTTAGTATATACCCAGTGTTGGTCAGATGTACTCAGATACATTCCCAATAATAATATGGAGCAGTCTTCATAATAACTCCAAAGTGGCAACACACAAATGTGACTGACTGGGGAATATATCAGGGCAAATGACTCTAATGAAATGCTGTATAACAATTAAGTGACATCCAACTACACTTACAAACATGAGGGAATTTTAAACATGTTTCATATAAAAAGCCAGACTCAAAGACTGTGTATGGTCCATTCGTAAAGTTTGAAACAGGAAAAATAAAGCTAAACTGGTGATAATTAGGGATGCAAGCTTAGTTGGTGGAGCTAGAAAGGCTCAATAACCTGAAAGTCAAAGTGATATCTGGGAAGTGAAGAATGGGTAATGGCTGAATCATGAGATGCTAGGGTGAATGTGGAGGTGCCGGCATCTATTGTGTTCAAGAAGATGATTACTATTTTTGATGTGGAAATCAGGAAGCATACCAAAAGTTACAAGTGCTCCAATAGTAATTAAGAAAGAAAGTTAAGGTGGGAATGGGGCAGAAATAGGACTCAAGAAACTTTAAGGGCTTACTCTATAAACATCAGTACACTGTGTGTTTTTAAAATGTGATTTGTAAGAAGCCGATTTTTTTCCAGAGTCAACAACATGATGATGTTTCCACGCCTGCTACAGAGGAGGCTGAAAGTGCTTTGTGAAAACCTTAGAAAGGCAGGATTTTTACTGATGCCGATACCTGATGTGGGTGCTATGATATTTTGGTATAACAAAGCTGCTGCAAAACCTGCAGATTTTATGCAAAAGAAAATAGAAAACAAGTTGAATTTTTCTCCTCAACATTCAAGAAATTTCTATATGCACTTTTCTAGGCTCCAAGGAGAAAGCTTTTTCCTACCTAAGGATGTGATTATTACAAGGAAGAATTTGTTATCTAGATAGTATGAACAGCTGTCAACATCCCACAAACTTTTATGGAGCACTCTAAAACACACTTTTTCTCTAGAGTGCAGGCTAAAGACTTCAAGTGTGATGTTGTGTAACTCATAAGAAAATATTGTCTCCCTATGAGAAAAAAAATCATATTTCACATTCTAAGTTTGTCAGCGGAACTAGCTTTTCCCTTAACAAAGTATGGCAAAGGCCACCAATTCAGAGTCGCTCATTGTTCCTTGACTTTCACCGCTCCTCATTAAAGTTCCTTTCTGCTCCAGAAGTCTCTGCCTTCTTTCTTCCTCGTTCCCTCCCCAACTTCCTACTTACCATTGTTTGGATCATCTGTCCAATTACTTTTCAAAGCAAACTTCCTTTGCACAAGAAGTTCCCAGGAATCTGTTCTGAATTCAGTTGTTTCTCTTCTAATATGGAACATTGCTTCGGAAAGCTTTGCTCGGGGATATTATCATACCAGTGAGTACACGCAGCTCTCTTCAATTGTGCTGCGGGGTTTTGTTTTTGACTGGGGACGGCTGGCGGGGGGCGGGGGGGGGTATTCTGCTGCCTCAAGCTGTTTCAGCACTTTTTATCAACTATTGTTAGGAATTTTTGATTCCACAAATGTCAGTGCTTAGCCCATTTCGTTCAATGCCCACTGTGTGCAGAATTCAATGTGTTCTGGAGTGTCAAAGATTAATAAGACACCTGACCACACATTTCTGTTTTGTGGAGGAAACAAGTAACAAATCAAGCTTCTGTGATACATTAATTAGCAGCAATATGAAGGAACAGAAATAGGGCAGAAGAATTAAGATTCCTTTTGTGAAATAAAAGTGACAATGTTTTATAAAACCTTTGAGCTGGGGATTAGTAGTTTACCAAGCAGATTGAAATATGTGATCCAAGTGACAGAGTTGCATTATTTGTTGGCCAGTAGGTTTAATAAGCTCACAGGCCTGGTTTTCTCTGATGTGGCTTTGTATCATGTATCAGAGTTGGGAGGACATTGCAGATAGAAGGATCAGCTCATCGAAAGTGTGGCAGAGAGAGGGCAGAACAAGATGGTGGAGTAATCCGGGGATGCCCTCACTCCCACAGAAACATCAACATGAACAACGATCTACACATAACATACCTTCTCAATGGCTAAGGAAAACAGGTAGAAGAACACAGCACCTGGTAATGGCATAGAAACAAAAGCCACATCGAAGGGAGTAGGAAAGACAGCTTCAGATTACCTGTGTCAGCCATCCCCCAACCTTAGGCAGTTCGGTGTGCAGAGACACTGTCTACTGTGGGTGAAGAGGAGGGAAATATGCACAAGACTTTGCCTTGAACCCCAACACTAAGCCTGCCACAATGAAAGCCAACACTGAGCAGACAGTCATGAACCCTGCCTTAGATAAGTACCTGTGGACTGAGCCTGGAGATCTCCCCCAGCACCGGGAAGTAACCAGTAGCCCTGGCAACGTACGCTCAATTTACAGTCCACAGCGCCAGCAGCAAACTGCAGCAGCCACAGACTTTAGGCGAACCTCAGAGGCAGACAGGCCTCACAGCAGCCATAGCGCTTCAGACGCACCTAACACTACCAGCCTCAGTGACCATGGGATTCCAGCCTGACATGCACTGCACTGGCCATAGTGGACTCAGGCTTGGAATATCCCTCAGTGCAACAGTAGACCCAGGCACAGGGGCCACGCCAGAGAGTCTTCCAGGGATGTCTGGTCAGGCTGATGTTTGAAGAGTCCTTCCAGACAGAAGCAGTCTACCAGGCTAGAATAACTGCTACCAGTGCACAGGTTATGGCCACAAGGGTCAAGGGCAGCCAAGGAGCTATGACATCACAAAAGAGTGTGCCAGTGACACACCCTAAAGAAATGAGCGTGTGTGAACAGCATGAGAAAGAATTCCAACTAACTGTTCTAAACCAGCTCAGCAAACTTCAAGAAAATATGGAGCAATGATCCAAAAAAGGATCAGAAAATTAAACATTGAAATAATGAAATCAAACAAAAATATTGCAGATAATTAAACTGAGTAAAATAAAATGCTACAGAAAGTGGCAATAGCAGAATTGATCAAGTAGAAGAAATAATCTGTGAATTTGAAGGCAGGTTGTTGCATGTAGAGGAGAAAAATGAAAAAGAATGAAGATTATGGGTTTTCTATTACAGTATCAAAAGCAAATACTTCAGGTCTGGGGATTTAGCTCAGTGGTTCCACTGCCTGCCTCACAAGCGCAAGGTCCTGAGTTCAATCCCCAGTACCAAAAAAAAAAAAAAACAAATACTTCAGTCACTAGGGTTCAAGACAAAAAAGATAAAACAGGATAGAAGCTTATTTAAGGAAACAACAAACTTTAAAACTGGAGAAAGATATTCAGGCACAGGAAGTTCAGTGTCTCCAATCATACTCAATGCAAATGCAACTATCACATAAAGGATGGGAAGCAGAAACGAAGCAGAGGGTCCTGAAAGCAGGAAGAAGAGAGGAGAACAACAACCACCACCACAGACTTCTAAGCAGAAACCCTACAGGCTGGATGACCGCAGGATAATACGCTCAGAGTGCTGCAGAAAAAGCACCAACATGAGCCCATGACGCGTACGAGAGCCAACAGCTGGCGCATGCACAGATTCCAGCCAGAGGCAGTAAGGGTGAGAAGCAAAGGAGACCTTTCATGCCCAGAAGAATCCAGTACTTTCCCATTGCCTGACCCCAAAGAAGTGGAAATAAACAACCTACCTGAGAATTCAAAATAAATGTTTTAAAGCACCTCAGCACACTCCAAGAAAGCACAAGAAACAATGCACTGAGCTCAAGAAAACAATAACTAAAAAGGGAAATTTAACTGAGTTAGAATTCAATTTTTTTAATTTAAAGCTTAAAAATCCACCAACAGAATTGATCAAGCAGAGAAAAAAAGGATATCTGGGATGCTGATACTAGGTTATTTGAAAATATACAGTCAGAGGAGAAAAAAGAAAAATACTGTCATATACAGGGCTTAAGAGACAGCAGCAAGAGAACAGGCGTTCACATTATGAGAGAAGAAACAGACCGAGACTGCCTATTTAAAGAAATAATAAGCCACCTTTTTTAATCTGGAGAAAATATCTAAATATCCAGGTGTGAGAAGCTCACTAATATTCATTCAAACCGAGTAAGGCCACACCCAAATGTAATTAAACTGTAAAAATAAAAGACAAAGACAGGAGCCTGAAAGCAGCAAAAAAAGAAAATATATCATATAAAAGGGAGTTTGAGCAAGGATAACAGCAGATTTTCCAGCAGACAAGGAACAAGCCAGGACAGAGTGGGACAACACAAAATGATGAAGGGAAGACAATGCCAACCAAAAACGTGATCCTGTGAAGCTGGCTTTCAGAAATGCAGGATTCCCAGACAATAAAAGACAAGTGTATTAATCACCCCATTACTGTTCTACAACAAAAGGAATTCTCTCAGCCAAAAGAAGAAGATTCTACTTATTAAAACAAATATACATGAAACTCACTGGCAAAAGTAAGTACACAATCACTAGTCTAATACTATACTGAGGGAGTGTAAATTACATCTTTAGTAGTAATGTAAAAAGACAAAACATTAAAAAATAATGCTATAGGGAGGGATGGAGCAGTTGAAGGGGGCCAGGGAAAGGGGGAAAAATAAGAACTAAGAGAGATTATGTAAAGGTGCAAATTTCCAATGATGAATGTCATTATATTGTTTTGGGTTTTTTGTTTGTTTTTTTTCTTGGTACCGGGGATCGAACTCAGGACCTTGCGCTTCTGAGGCAGGCGTTGGAACCACTGAGCTAAATCCCCGCCCCAAAGTCATTATATTGTATACCTAAAATGCACTAATAAAATAAAATTTTAAAAAATAATGCTACAATCATTTGTTATGGAATATACAGTATAAAAAGATAAAAATTGTGTCACCAAAAACTTAGAAAATTGTTGGAATGGATTAAAAGTGCAGAGTGATTTTATGTGATGAAAGTTACAATTTTATCAATTTAAAATACCCTGTTGAGGGGCTAGGGATTTAGCTCAGTGGTTCCGCCATCTGCCTAGCAAGCCCAAGAATCCGAGTTCGATTCCCAGTACCAAAAAAAAAAATGAAGAAGTAAAATACCCTGTTGTGTTTTATGCAAATCTTATATTTTGTGTGTGTTGTATCTTGCTAACTGCAAAGCAAAACCTACAAAGTATGATTGAAAAATACAGTGTAAGTTAAAATTTTTTCATTTAAATTTTCATGTTTAATTTTTTTTAACTATTGCAGTAAAAGACATTACCATGAATCTCCCTCAAAATATTCCCCCTTGCTTCAAACACAATTTCAAAAACAAATTTATCCCATTGACCTTGCCACTTTCTGAAGCAGCTCTGGAGTCCTCTTTCCTGAGTGTCTTTAGTTGTGCTGTTGGGGCCGCCTCAATGTCCAGAACTGATTCAAAACCTTGACCTTTTGTGGTCATTTTGACTTTGGAGAAGAGCCAGAAGTCACATGGTGCCAGAGGCAGTGAATAAGGTGGATGCGGACACAGCGTTGTGTTCTTAGGAGCCCATTTTTCCATTGGATGGTGCTCCGAAGCAGCTTTCACTGTATTTTGTATCACACTTTGTAAAGAGATGAGAAAGGATTTGGATGATTTGAGAAGAAAATGTGGCAAGAAATCATTGATCAAACAGGAAGGTGATTAAGAATGAAGTTTGAAAGATAGGTAAAGCCAGCTCTGCCTTATTGGCCCTATCAAGATTTCATGTAAACAGAGAGAAATTTCCAACTAAAGAGATGAGAAGGGGGAAGAGGTTTTTAAGACAGTGAAAAGTCTAGAATAGCACCACCCAATAGAAATATAATATGAGTCACATGTGTAATTTCAAAGTTTCCTAGTAGCCACCCTAAGAAAATAAATGGAAAATAAAAGGTTAATTTGAATAATTAGTTTGTAAAATGACCTGGGTCATCTAAACAAGCAGGATGAAAATTCTTGAGATACGTTACAGTCTTTCTTAAGTCAAGTCTTCAAAATTTGGTGTAGATTTTACACTTCCAACACACATCGATTCAGAGTAACTACATCTCAGCCACTCAGTAGCCAAACATGACTACTGACTGCTTTATTGGAAATGTGGGTCTTGAAGTGTCAGCAGAATTCACAGAAAATGTGCCCCCATTCTCCCCACCCAAGAAGTCTTTCCAGAAAGACTGAACAGGCTCTTCGAGAAGTGCAAAGCTGGGTTACCGGTCAAGGAAGCGAAACCC